TAGCCAGTCACGATGACCCAGAAATTCCAGTCTAAAATTCAATTTGTAGACATTTGTTAATGACCAAGCTTTTACTCTGGTTAATGGAGAAAAGTGAGGTAAGGTCTAAAAATATTTTGTCTGTTATATTTGGAAACCACTTCAGAAGCACAAAATGAGCATAACCACTTTAGAGATTTATTTGTAGACTCAGTTCCTTCCCTTTTTAGCGCATCATGTTAACATTTCCAGATTGTTGAATGTTGTATATCCATCCCACAGTCTATCCCCCTCTCAACTCGTTCCCCACACCCTGCTAACTATTGTGACCTTTAAAATGTTCGTTGGCATAGTATGAATGAAGCTGGAAACAGCTACATCAGGAATGAGTTTCAGATATTGCTGCAGTGTGGTTTTAAGCAGAAATATCTTCGGAAAAATCTGACTCGACTGCCAGTTGACAATGGGATCTTTAACCACAAAACAAAAGTTGGATTTTTGATGTGTGGAAATTAAACATCAAATGTCAGAATTTTGACATCAAACCAACCTCAGCTATCGCTCATTGTAATTGAGTTGGCAACAAAATTATTTCATGGTTCAAGCATTTGATGAGCGTTCTTGGTTTTAATGCTCCACTTCTTCAAGTGAAATTGAAGATAATGGAACATCTTTTAACTTTGAAAAATCGTGACTATTACCAGCAGTGGAATGTAGTGAAAGATCAATATTTGTGCTCTGGGGAGATAGAGAAGAATAAAATAGAAGTGGAGGAAGTGATGTGCATGAACCATAGAGGTCTGGGCAGAAGTAAAGTCAGATTGTTTGGTATTAAATCGCCAGAGAATATTGCACATACAACTGGGCATATTTATCACACAAAGAAAATACAGAGTAAGCTAAGGTCACTCAGTCAAGCCACAATGTTCCAACAAATCCATATGTGATTAACACAAACAAAAACAGAAATTGCTGGAAAAGCACAGCAGGTCTGGCAGGATCTATAGAAAAATCAGAGTTAATGTTTCAGATCCAGTGACCTTTTCTTAGAACTGATGGTAGCTAGGAAAAAAGTTGCCTTTATGTAGAAGATAGGGTGAGGGGAGGGGGTAAGGAGTAAATGATAGGTGTGGATTTGTGTGGAATCCTGTTTGTGGACTTTGGGAAGGTGGTAAAAGCGAGCTGTGTGGGGTTGGAAGGCCATGAGTTTGGAGGCACCCGGGGTAGGGAGATCACCAAATGAAATGAAGATAGTGACTGTAATGGACACAATAGCCACATGTGTGATTAATCCTATCATGGGTATATTTGTTCTGAATTGGGAAACAGTAATTTCCTTTCCTAACATCCCGTGTGCAGGAGAGAATCCCTGTTTTTCTTCATTGTCAGAATAACGTTCAGTCCTACTTCTCAAATGTGTAGTTACAGCTAGCTTTTCAAAGCGAAAAGTCAGGCTTAATCAACTCCCTTCCCTGGAAACTTGTTCCACAGGTTTATGTCACACCTCACTGGGGTATCCCATTGGAAATCAAGTCCCACTCTTCCTGGATTTTTCCTAAAAGTTAAAGATTTTTAAGTAAGAACACAAAATTTACCTGATTTAGAGACCCAGGTTGTCAGAAAGCATAGACCAGGTTTCTGTAGTTAACAAGAATGACTATTTATTGCAAATAATTTGACTCTTTGCAAGTAATTAGGTTCTTTGTTTCAGCCGTTTACAATGCTTGGCATGAGTGTCATGTTACTTGCTGACAAATCCTTTCAGAACACTGGTTTCAAAACAGTTCTTTCATTTCAGTCCATAATTTTAGAAAAAAATAAAAGACAGGTTGTTACATATATTCAACTGAGGAGAAGAACCCTTTTCATACTGGTAATCATGGTTTATGGATTATTCTTTCTTTCTCTGTTCTGTACCTCAGCTGCACTTTTCAATGATTGTTTTGAAGGCTGAATCCCATCATTCTGAGATAACAAGGTGTAGAGCTGGATGAACATAGCAGGCCAAGCATCTGCTTGTCTTTTGGTTCTTCCATGCCCCGTACAGTGTGAACTTGTCCTGATCATTCATCTGTGAATTATTTTGAATGTATTTATATTCACTTTGAGATCCAATGATTTAGACTGCATGTTCACTTTAATATTGGCCTTGCTATAAGTCTGTATGTCAGTATGACCAATACCAGTATCCTAAGTTGTCTGATTAATAATTGCCTTGTGACCAGATGTATTTCAAGTATATGTGATCACTCGAAAGCCTTTTCTTTGTTTTTCTGACAGGAGAGACAAATCCTTTCGTGTTCTACGCATTTACTGTTCTCTGCTCTTTTGTGCTTTATCTATGTATGTATAAACGTTAAAATTTGTCTACTGTCTCTGAGCCAATCGACATAATTAGTTAAGGTTTTTTGAAAGATTGTCGTTCTCTCTTCCTCTTATTCTTCTACCAGAAAACTCTGCCATCAGTAGATTTAACAAGTCTGTGACATCCTGTTCTATGTCTGCTCAATATTGTAAATAGTACAAAATGGATACCATTGGAACGCTACTGTTTAATTTTTTTCCTGAGCAGAGCATTTTCTGATGGTCATTCTGTCTGAGTTCTGCTGTCAGTCCAAGTAGACAATTTTTAAAGCACCCTGTAAATTTAAAACTTCCTTATTAGCCTCGTGAGGAACTTATTGCAAACACTGAGCTGATTGCTCCCGATGGCACTGAATTCAAGTGTTTATTTGTAGACTCCTCTCAAAGTCTTTAGGAATTGTTTTCACTGTCACAGACATTAGGCTTTAAAATATTAGAATTCACAGATCCTTCCTTGGATACATTTAGTGCTTGATACTGATCAAGCTAACTTAATGTAGGCAGTGAAACCTGCCCCAGAAGCAATATTTTTCATATGTAGAACTCTGTGGTAGCTGACATTTTTCAAAAGATCCATTCAACTTCAGTCAGGCAGCTAATCACTACAGGTTGTGATATGAGAAATTAGACATAACAGCATTGCATGACCAATTTAGATAAAGTCAAATATTTTATATTCAGCTATGAAGATTTTTTTAAAAAATGCACATGATCCTATTTTCCATCTAAGTAATAAGAATAAGAACTGGGAAAAGTGATTGAAGGTGGATATCAGTGAAGTGGATTTTCTGCTTTGTGTCGATAAAACATGTTCTTTGCTTTAAAATCAAAGGAATTGTCTGTTATTCATACTCACCCTGCCATTGTGGACACCTCTTCCAGCTCCTGAATTCTCTCTATAAATTGTCTTGATTCCGATAATGGTCTACTTAAAAGCTATTTCTTGGAATAAACTTTTGATCAACCTTCCTAACAGCTCCTCTGTTAATTAGAAAAGAAATGGATACCAAATTATATGTCTTTGAAACCTATTTAGGGTTTATGTCATTTGCATTAAATTTCCTTGAGTTTGAATTTGAATCATTGTTGTCACAAGTATGAATGAAAAGTGTTGTTTTGCATGCTATACAGGCAGATCGTACTGTACAAAGTGCATGTGAGTATCAGAACAGAGTGCAGAATGCAGTGTGACAGTCAGATAGAAGGTGCAGGGAGAGAGATCAGAATTAACATTTGAGACATTTGTTCAAAAGTCTGATAACAGCGGGGAAGACACATTTCTTGAACCTGTTTGTACCTATATTCCAACTTTTATATCTTCTGCCTGAAGGAAGGAGATGGAAGAGAGTATAACTGGGGTGGGAGAGGTCTTTGATTATGTTTGTTGCTTTCTCAAGGCAGCGGGAAGTGTAGATGGAAACAATAGATGGAAGCCTGGTTTGTGAGATGGACTGAGCTGTGTTCATGACTCTCTGGAGTTTCTTGTGATGCATCCAGATAGGATGCTATGGTGCATCAATAAAAATTGGTAAGAGCCCTCGTGGACACGGCAAATTTCCTTTGTCTCCACTCCCTCAGGAGGCTTTGTTGTGCTTTCTTGTCCATCGCATTGACATGGATGGACCAGGACAGATTGTTGGTGATCATCACTCCCAGGGACTTAACATCTCCACCTCATCACCACTGGTGCAGCCAAGGGCATGTCCTCCACTCCACTTCCCAAAGTCAATGACCAGCTCCTTCATTAGCTCAATGTATATCATCTGAGATTGCATTTTCTGTTAAATTTGAACCCAGTGCCTGATTTTAATAGATGAGAAATGATGTGGGATATTTTTAAACATAAGTTGTAATTTACTAAAAACAGAAAAAAACACACAAATATTCATATTTACACATGTAAGTGTGCTAAATGTCAATGCATTTAGATATTAAGTTTGAATGAGCTTTTATAGGTATCAGTATTTAGCTGGTTATCATGTTGAAAAGGGCTGGTGAAAGGAGGCATGTACTAGTTGGACCAAAGGGCTAGTTTTCATGCTGCATGACTCTATGACTGATCACTGTGGTAATCAGTTGTTGATTATCCATTCATGACTGAATTGATTTCCAAAGTGTATTTAAGACAGATAGATAGATTCTTGATTAGTAGGGGGATAAAGATTATGGGGAGAATGCAGGAGAACGGGATTGAGATAAAAATCAAATGGTGGAGCAGACTTAATGGGCCGAAAGGCCTCATTCTGCTCTTATACCTAATGGTCTAATTCTGCTTTTGAGACAAGAGGCGAAGGTGCTACCTTTGAAGCACAGCCAGCATCTCAAATGAAGGGTTCAAAGATTTACTTGATACTTTTAGCTTTGGTTTGAAATGTATATTTTATAACTTACACAGTATCCATTATATAGCAGCTGAATTTATTGTCTACAAAGCATTAGATTACTGCAGTTCAGTGGATTAAAATGTTGTCGCTATGGAGTACAGAAGTACTGAAGGGAAATTAAACATTTGCATGTTTTATTTGCTGTCACACACAATTCCAAATTGATTGCGCATAACTAATATACCACAGCAGTGTAGCTCCAATGGGATGTGCTGTGTACTTAGATTTATACTTTACAGAGGTTTAATTTTGTTTTCTGTTCATTATCATTAGGCCTAGATGACTGCCTGCAACAATACATTAAGAACTTTGACAGGGAAAAAGTCAGTGGAGATCAACTTCTGAGAATCACTCATCAGGAACTAGAGGAGCTTGGGGTCACTCGTATTGGCCATCAGGAGCTGATCTTGGAGGCAGTGGACCTGTTGTGTGCTTTGGTGAGTACAACCTCTTCGCCTTTTCTTTTATCAGAATTTTTAAGAAATGTATTCCAAACTGGTACATTTTCAGAAAAGACAGCCCGTAACTGAGGGAGGAAATTTTGCAGGGCTATGGTGAATGAATGAAGGAGGCTGACTAACTGAATAAATCTTTCAGAGAGCCCAAGTGGATGGAATGGTCTCCTGTGCTGTCAGATTCAACGACTGCCTTGCAACATATGGCAACAGGTGGCACAGCATGAGTCAGAAAGCTTAAAAGTTGAAGTCAGCAGCCATTTCTGTCTGTTCCCCAACCCCCAGATCTGTTTAGGCCCTGCTGATAGAGTACAGGATGAGGTATCAGTTTACAGCGTTAAGTTTTTCAGTACTGTAGATCATGGAAATTAGACATCTTCCATGTTTCACAGTCACTTTGACTTCTCTATCATAAATGCATTCTGTTTGGAGGCCCTTTGGAGAACATAATGTATTAATGAGGCTGTTTGGCTGAAAATCTGTATTTACAAGTTTTTAGCAGAAAAGAAGTAAGTATTTTAACGTGTTTTTTCAACATTCGATTGATTAAGTTATATTGTCCTATAATTCAGTCAGCACGAGACTGGTTTTTCCCATGGTTATCACTTTTAGAGTTACTCAGTGTACAAATAACATTTCAAATTTTGCAAATACAAAACTTGGATGTATTGTGAATTGTGAGGAGGATAATGCCAGACTTCAAGAGGACATAGAGAGGCTGGTGGAATGGGCAGACTCATGGCAGATGAAATTTAATACAGAGAAGTGTGAAGTGATGTGCTTTGGAAGCAAGAATGGAGAAGCAACATAAAATAGTGTGAAACAAAGAGACCATGGGAAGGAATGGGTATTGATATATGGATTGTTGAAGTTAGCAAGGCGGTTTGACAAAGTAGTCAATAAATCACACAGAATTTGGAGCTTTAGATGCATAGCAAGGGAGTGGAATTTTATTAGCTGCACCAAGTCAGCTTTTGGAGTTGAGAGAACGGAGAACATCTTCTATTATATTCTGGATTTGTTTTCACCTCTGTTCAATCTTGTCAGAAGCAGAATCTGAATGTCATAGCTACCAATGCAGGATTGGCACATAGATAAATATCAGCAGATTAACAGCTAGGGACAATTTGGAGATGTAGCTGAAACCTTACTTGTGGTGGATGGGCCCCCTGCTGAAGCTAAGCCTGGCACATGCCAGGAGGTATTCTCTCGGAAGCAGAACAAAGCCTAATGTTCCCCTCCCAATTCCCAGGAGCTGCTGATGCCAGGATCGCTACAATTGCAACTGCAAGACCTCATGCGGAGGAACTTCTTCGCTGAACTAATGGCCTAGAAGATCTGGTCACACTTTATGTGCCCATTTTTGAAGTTTACAGAGGACTCTCCCATTTTGGGGCAGGCCCATGATTTCCTATCTACATTGGCAGAGCCCACCTCTTAGTGGGGTCCAGCTACCAGCAATCTTGGGTGCTCCAAGTGGTCCACTTGCTTGGGAGTCCATCTGTGGTCCTTGGACTGGCACCTGGAAGCAGCCTGTTGATTGGTTACTTCTAGAAACAACATTCAGGCAAGTGGATCTCAGAAGCAATAGGCATTGGAGCCCAGAAATGGTTCAGGCATGTATTCGAAAACAACGTCAACAACTAATGTTATATTTATGTATTGCCTATTGCATCTTTACTGTATTGAAACCTCTCAAGTTGCTTCACAAGAGCATTGTAAAGCTACGTGTCACTTATGCCTCATAAGGAAATGTCAGGTCAAAAGGTAGGTGCTAATAGTTGTCTTAAAAGAGAAAAGAGAGGTGGAGAGGTGTTGGGAGAGAATTTGAGAGCTTGGGCATGGCCATCAATGGTGGGAGCAAATAAAATTGGGAATGCACCAGACGCCAGAGGACTGCATTTATCTTAGAGGGTTGTGAAGCTGGAGGAGGTCACAGTTGGATTGAAAATAAAGATGTGAATTTTACAATCAAGGCATTGTTTGACCAGGGGCCAATGTAGATCAATGAACTCAGGGGTGATGAGAATGGGGCGTGGTGCGAGTTAAAGTACGAGAGCAGATCTTTTAATGGAGGGTAAAATGTGGGAAACCAGCCAGGAGTGTGTTAGAATAGTTGAGTCTACAGGTAACAATGGATGGGGGTTTCAGTAGTACACGTGTTGAGACAGGGACAAGTTGTGGGAGGTTACAGGGATAGAGAGAGACCGTCTTAATAATAGCATAGATGTGAATTCAGAAACTGGTCTAAGAATCAGATGTTCCACCAAGATTGTGAGCAGACTGGCTTAATCTCAGATTTACCAGGGAGATTGCTGGAGTCAGTAGATTGGAGTGAGGATTGAAGACAATGGCTTCATTCTTCCAGATATTTAATTACAGGAAATTTCTGCTCATCAGTACTACATATCAGATAAGCAGTCCATAACTACCTGCAATACCATGGAGTTCAAGATAAGGAAAGTGGTGGATCTTGATAAAACACTGATTAGGCTTTAACTGGAGTATTGTGCCGTATTCTGGAGAATACACTGTATTCTGTACAGTGTGTTGGAGGCAAATTCAATTATGCTTTCTAAAGGGAATTAGATAATCACCTGAAGAGATAAAAATTGGAAGGCTGCAAGGTAAATCTGGGGATTAGCTGAATTGCTCTTGCAGAAGAAAAGACAGGATTTCAATGAGCTGACTGGCCTTATTTTGAACTGTAACGGTCCCATGTACTTGCAGCAACAATGAAGCAACAAGATTATCAAATCTTAAGATTCCTCCTGGCATCTGTCTGAGAATTATGATGTAGAAATGACAGAAAGTATGGAATGCACAGCAAAAAATAAAGTGAAGACCTGATTGACAGAATACTATCATGGCTAAATTAAACAACTATCCTGAAAAACTGATTTCAAATTTGTCATATGTATCATGATTGACAAGTTACAAAGTTAGAATGTAGTCTAGATACTCCACCTGTAATAACATAAGACAAGCAGACAAGTTGGCAGGTCAATGCCATTTTAATCTCCTGCATGAAAACCTCATATAAAAACTGTTTTATCTTCCTAGAAATCAGAAGAAGTGCCTTAGTACCTTTTTTCGCATATTTCTCTTTTCAACTCTGACTTGCCGCTCCCCAATTACATTTTGAGAGAATTAATTTGCACTTCAGCAACTGTTGTCACTCAGGTTCCATCTGTCTGTCTATCGATTTTCCTTAATCTCTGGTCCTGCTTACTACTTTCAAATAAATTCTGTGCTTATGTTCTAATTCAATTAGATCATTGACGCTCCAAAGCATTTTGACAGCTTGAATTATATTACTCAATATTTTCTCTTGTCAAAACAAACTCATCTAATATTCATGGTCATCTGGATTTTGTATTACAGCCTTTTGATAGCACGCTTATTCTAAATACTTCAGCTTATACTTTTGTAATCAAGAATTAATTAGTCCATACAGCTGATTTTACTTTCACAAACACATCAGAAATCTTAAAAAAAAAGGTTGCCCTGGCTGATAGCCCTGTTTTCACACGTGGAGCGTTCCTCATAATGTTTCCTTACTGTTCCACAGTAGCAGGGAGGACAAACGAACAAACATCATCCAGAATTTTCCGGGACACAGATCAGCTATGATCCCATTTCCAACTACTCATTGCAGTCCCCATAAAAATACTTCCTTACTTTTCAAAGTTGATGCCATTCCCAAATAAGTTAGGTGTGGTAATGTAAGCCTTTTAAAATTCCCGAGGTATATACATGGGTGGAGGGTTGAAAGGTTGTACCGCTCAAGCAGAAAAATCTCTGATACCTCTTCATTATTAGCTGTTGTGTTTTTCTGAGTTCTTTTTAGTTTAGAAATGATAGAAAAAAAGATTAGGCAACTCTATAATGGTTAGGCAATCCCCTTACCCAGCTTATGAAATGAAAAGGTGGAAATTACTCATCCCTTATGAACCTTAAACCTTTTAATTTTAATTGAATTTGTGTTTCTGGGTCATTTAACAAATCCTGATCATTTATTTACCAAAGTCTGTTTAGATGGTCTCTTCAGTCAATCCAGAAAATTAAATAGAACAGATAAACAAAATGAAGTCTTAATGTGGGTCTTTTCAAATAAATGTGGATCAAGGGTGTTCAGAAGTTGATTGATCTCAATGTAAATATGAACGTTAATGACAGCTTCATGACTAGCAAATGCACTGGATATTTATCTAGGTGAGACTCCTGATATAAAATCAACTTTTTTGAAGCAGTCAAACAAATGAACAAAAATGTTTTTACACTTCGGTGAGTTTTGATTTTGAGAGTTGCCTCATTGCTTGGCCTCCTACATCTGAATAATTTCCAAATATGAAATTGTGACGTAAGCTATATGATAACTAGCGTTCTTAATATAGTTTATACGAGTGAACAATCTGCTCATTTCCGACTGTTCATATTCACAATTGTCGGATTCCCTTTTTTTGTAATTAATGAAGGACCTGCTGCTATGTACAATTTATTTACCTTTCCTCCTTGAATATGAAAGGTAGAAATTACTCTACGTTATGAATAAGTTCCTCGAAGTGCTTCAAAACACTTTACAGTGAATTGCTTTTGGAATGTTGTTTTGCAAAGTGGCAGCAAGCTACGTCAGTAACATGGCAAAACAGTGAGATGGGTGACCATTTGGCCTGTTTATTTTTAGGTACACCTTTTGAGGCAATACTGGGGTGGACACCAGAAGAACAGTCAATTGTATCTTCACACTAATTTAGTATCACCGCCAAATGCTCCAAGTTAATATCGAACCCAACAGCACAGTTTTCTGACAGTACAGCAGTAAGACTGGATTATGAGTTTAAATCCCAATGTTGAACTTGACCCAGAGGTGAGGAATCACCGGCTGGCACAGGGGTGCAAGCTGTTGTAGACAAGTAACAGTCTGTAAATTTTCTACCTGAGTCCCAGCCCTCAGTAGTAAAAATGTGGCATGGTCATGG